TTGCTTTATATATATATATGATCAACTCTCAAAAGATTTCATGTCGTGACTCTTATAGAAATTTGAAGGGCTATCGGTGGAATAGAAATTAAAACTACTTAAGAGGACAGAGCTGGAGTTGATGGCATTCTCACAGAGCAACATGTTTGAGTTTGGCAGAAGGGACAGTGTCTGTTCAGCTGGAATGGCCCTGGATTGGCCCCTGCCTTGTCGGGGCGCCTGTCCCCAGCAGCAGCTGTTCCAGCAGAGGCTGTCTGCATCTGGGTCTGGATTTGAATAGTGGTGTTTAGGGTAGCCTTCATGTTTGTTCCTTGAAAGAGTCGACGTGGTGGACAAATGGTGCGTGTGTTCCCAGCCGTGCCGCTGGAAGCGGTGTTTGTCTTTCGGGAGCCTGGTGGCCACTGGGAGCCCCGGTTTCCCCAGATTTTAGGTCCGTTCAAGGAGCAGCACCCAGGGCACAAAGCCGAAACAGCAGGAGCCACGGAGGACATGGTGGACACTTTCTGTCAGACAGATCGCAACATAAAGAAATGTCATCTTATTCCATCTGATGCTTGCACGGTTTCTGCGAGGTCATGGGGCAGAGACCCTCATCCCCATGGGAGAGGTCAGGAGACCGGGGCCAAGCTCAGGGAGAGGACACAGGTCACCCAAATTGGTGCAGTCAGGGCTGGGGTGACCTCTGGCTTTTCGATTCTAGTGCAGCATTTTAGCCACTCCAGAGTGTAGTCCTGGGGTCCTTGCAGCTTGAGACGCTTAGGGCACTAATTGTTTGTAATGAGAAAGAGACTGTTTCCTCATCAGCCTTTTAAAGTTATTTGACTTCGTGTGTATTATGTAGTGGTCGCTATTCAGTAAAGAGACAGGAATCTGTAAAAACCCGTCTTCTCTCGTCTGCCTTCCCCTCTGAAGATGGGCGAATCTATGGGTCGGAATTATTACGGAGTATGGGGGGAGATAAGGCAGACATGCTCGTGGTGTGTGTGTGTGTGTGTGTGTGTGTGTTTGTAAGCAGCAAAGCAACAAGAATTTTAGACAGAATCCTTTGAAAAATCAACAGGAATAAACCACGCCCTTCGCTTAGAAAACACAGGTCCCAACAGTTCCGAGGGCTGGTCCTTGCTGTTTTCTGAAAGTGTGCCTCTCTCTGGTTTAAATCTGACAGCGCCAAGCTGTGAGAATCACTTACTGGAGTTGCTGTGCTCCTGAAGATATTCCGGAGTCTGGTTAATCACACACCGAGCCTGGGCATCTGGCCTCAAGTCAGTTAAAAACAGTTGCAGAAAGAATGCCTGTAGTTTAAATATGAAAATATGATGATTTATTCTCTAAACACATCTATACTCTAAGTCTTAGTTAAAAGGTGATTAAAACTACTTTCTTTGAAAAGCTTTGTTGGCAGAAAGGGAAACATATTTTCTTTAATAAGTAGATCATGCAACATAACATATTGTGACTTCTCATTATGGGCATCACTGCTACATTTTTTGGAACTGACTATATTTCCCTACCATTCAGTTTTACCGTATGTTAAATAAAATTCTGTGGGGTACATTTCGCCATGTCTGGGGACAAATCCGGTGGATTGGCTTTGCCCTGGGAACCCCAATGGCCTGTAGGTAGTGAGTGAAAGATTGCTCAGGCCTTCGAAATAATGGAAGGAAAATAACAAAGTAACAGCGTATACCCTTCTCTGGTGAACTTAACATCCAAATATGAAACAAACTTCTCTGTCTCTCTGTCCATCCAATTTAATGAGGAAAATGTTTACATTTAAGAACATTTGTATCGATTACCTATTTCCATTTCTTCCCTTTCATTTACCTTCAAACCGTCCAGCAACAGGGCTGAGGCAGAGGAAGGGGCTCTCCAGCTCTCCGCAGAGGCCAGTTATCCTTCAGGGAGAGTAAATAAAGTCACGATGCACGTTCGGGTTTCCCGACAGCCACAGTCACAAACTGTTTCTATGTCCCCGGGACCTGCCATCGGGGAAGACGGTGACGGGTTAACCCGCGGAGCCCCTCGGTGGGAGCGGATGGCATCCCTTCCCCTGCCCAGCCGAGCCCGCCGAAGCCGGCACTCGCTACCCAGTGTCAAGGACAGGGGGTCTCCGGTGTGTCTGACACTGGGAAGTCTTTCTCCAGAGATGTGAAACGCGACGGAGGTTTCTCTGTGACGTGTCGTGGCAGCCACGGTTGACCGGGGCACGCGTGTTTGTTCCCTGCGTGTTCCCGCTTCTCCCCAGGCCCTGCAGCCCCAGCCGTTTCGATGGCTCAGTGTCTGTGCCTCGCTCTCCTGTCCTGCCCAGGAGACCTGTGCACTTTCTGGTTGCCTGTTACCTTCTCACACCTTGTTCCGGCTTAGGAGACGTGCGCCATCTTATACTAAAACTCTCACGGCATCTGTCACCTCTCACACGTCCCGATTTGCATGCTGTGTTCTCATGACAGCACTGCTGCCGGCAGTGATATACTGTGCGTTAATTTTTTTTTTTTAAAGTCTTTTGTCCATGAACAGAGCCGCTGCCCGTTTATTTTATTCCGAACACTTTTCCCCAAATGCCTTTCAAGTTCCTGCACAGCCTTGGCCGGTGCCTGTTTTCTCCATGTGCAGGTGGCTGGTCGCCTCCCCGACTACAGCATTTCGCTGAAGCTGTCGGATTATCTGCTCGCAGGCCTGGTATCTCCCTACCCTGACCTCAGCATCCTCCTCACGGAAATGTCTGGAAGAGACGCCCAGAGATAACCTAACCCACCCTTTCTCTCTCCAGAGAGACCACATCCAAAAACGCCAGACAGATGGCTATTATTAAGTCTCCATTTATCTGTTTTATTATGATACCGAACCCCGAGGTAATAAGTGGAACATTTTTAAAGTCTCGCGAATAAAGAAGATTCAGAATTCCTCTGAGCAACGTGTTCCAGCAACTAACTAACCTTTGCCGCCAAAGTGTATTTTTTGGTTCCTATTTCTTATGTGGAAAACTCTTGCCTTCCAAATACCATCTTCTTGTATTTGAATTTTTGTGGAAACGACGTGTATTGGTTACTGTCTACTGAGAATCTCTTCTGCACGCCTGGGCCTGTGATGCAGTCAGACCGCCTCAGTTCCAAACTTTGTCTGATCTGCACAGGCTTCCTAAGCCAGTTCCACAAAAAATGTCAGCTACGGTGGGAAAGCAAAAGAAACCCTCATGTGACGATGAAAACCATCACGCATCGATGTAGCCATTCACATTGCTGTGACTCTGCCGCTTTATATTAGATGGCAGTTATCACTGTATAGGCACTCGGCAGGTTCTAGTCTCTGGCAAATGCTACTGACATCACTTTTCACATGTCCAGGACAATGCGTGACCATGGATCTGTCCCTTTTTCCAGACTGAAGATGAGTAGTATAGACTATAAGTCACTGCTGATTTTATTTTGATCCTGAACCCTGAGATATTTGTTGAGTGAACGCATGATTGTCCAGATATTTCATGAAAATAGATACCTTATGGGGCCGGTCGTGCTTTATTTTATAAAATAAAATTTTGGAAATCTGAAATTTGTTTTTCCCGTACCCCAGGTCTGCAAGGTGCATTTATAGTCTTTACCTTTGCGATACTGGCGTTGGAGATCTGGAGAGCTAACCAGTCATTGCCTTCCTGGGTTCAAGTTGAATATCGACACGAAACGAGTATTGGGTGCAGACTGGCAGATGTTCCATTAAACGGAGCAGGTGCCCGGTGCCGTGCCAGGCAGGGGTTTGGAGAAGCCGGGTCTGAAGCACCGCCTGCTCCTTCAGCGGTGTCCCCTCCCTCCAGTTGGGGGTTGAGTAGATCTGACCACGAGGGCCCAGGGCATGAAACCAAGACTGAGATCCCACTGTCCTTCTCAGCAAGCCACGGGCAGGCCGAGAAGGGGCAAGACAGAAGTCGTTATATTCATCCACTAGGTACACGTGTGAAGTTACGGCCCGATGGATGTCCGATTCCACTGCCTGGGCCAGCAGATTCTCACGTGGAAACACTTTAGCGAGCAGGTGGGGGAGTAGATCGAAAAGGTTGTTCTGGCTCCACCCCCCTCCCCCACTGGGGCACCAGACAGTACCAGCATCTTCAGTGGGAAAAAGAGCATGGACGGGCTGCAATTAGGGTTTTCCTCTGAACGACTATAGACGTGACACATATGTGTTAAGATTTACCTACACAGAAATAATCTTGACCAGAAAAGGGCTGTCAACACAGAATGTTTGAGAGTCGATGGCAATTGTGAGTCATCGACACATCTGCCAAATGGAACAGTCGGCTCTGTACGTGTGTTTTCAGGGAAGAAGGGGTGTCTACTCAACACCCCTTAAGAAGAAAGGTCTATGCTTACAGAAAAACGCCGTGTCTAACCTCGACGTCATTCGCGCGGCAGGTCCTGCCTTCGCGGGTGGACTCAGAGCCCTTTGCCTTCCAGGTCCGTGGCAGCGAAGGGGAAGTGCTGTACATTCTGGATGCCACCAACCCACGACACTCCAACTGGCTGCGCTTCGTCCACGAGGCCCCGTCGCAGGAGCAGAAGAACTTGGCTGCCATCCAGGTGGGTCCTTCGCTTCCCGCTGGCGCTGTGCTCCGTGAGGGGAGTGAACTAACTTCTAACCGTACTCTCTGTTTTGACTTCGGTTCCCTGATGACCTGCTTCAAAAGCAGTGACCAACTCATCAAAGCAGAGACATCGTATCTCGGTGGCCTACGCAGGCCAGGGCAAGCCTTGCGATAAAGTGACACCAGATCGCTCGCTCTGTGAGAGTTCTCGAGGGGATGGCTTACGTGGCCTGATATTGTCTTTGGCAGGTCTATGTGTCAGGCACTTTTAATTCATCCTGTGACTGTTTATTGATAGTTTTTTAATTTGATGGTTTACTTGGCTCCTAGTGCAATATTCTAGTGTTATGATTTGGGAGCGGCTTTGTGGAGAAAGTTTACTGGGGTACATTCCCACAGCTGAACTTTGAGCTTCTGGAGGGTAGTGTATTAGTCAGGGTTCCCCAGAGAAACAGAACCAGTAGGATGTCTCTCTGTCTGTCTGCCTGCCTACCTGCCTAGAGACAGAGAGACACCCAGAGAGATTTATCACAGGGGATTGGCTAATGCAGTTTGGAGGCTGGCAAGTCCCAAAACTGCAGGTGGCTATGGAACCAGGAAAAGCTAATGGCCCTCTTCAAACGTTGTCAGGCCAGAAAAACAGATGTTCCAGCTGGAAGGCCATCAGGCAGGAGAATCCTCACCTACTCAGGGTCACACTTCATTCTGTTTTTGCCTTCACCTGTTTGGACAAGGCCCACCACACGGCTGTACCCCAGGCATCTGTTTAAACATTAATCTCATGCACAAACACCCTCACGGAAACACCCTCTGTAATCCTGCAACAGCTACCTGGGCTCCCTGCGGCCTCGTCAAATTGTCACATGAGAGTTACCATCCTAGTTGTGCTTTGAACTCTGTATCCCCATACCCCAGGATAGTGTGCATAACATCAGGCTCTGAGACACACTGTGGCCTGGGCTTAGGTGATCCCTCAGTGGCCGTTAGGGGAGAAGAGAAAAAGTTAAGGCCAGACGTTCTTAGAGGGGGCCCTATAATTAAAACTCATTGAACGGATGATTAAGGGAATAAAAGAAATGTGATCTCTCATCGGGGAAATTGGCTGGTCACGTGTGAAACCCAGCTCCTGGGCCCTAAAGGGCAGAAGGGGAGGCAGAACTCTTCTTGGCAGGAGCCAGAGGTTTAAGAGCGTAAGGGAGCGGACTTACATTTCCTGGGTTATTTACCGTGTGCCCTGCGCTGGAAGCTTCACTCACATCGTGTCCTTTATTCATTAAACCTCTGCGAGTTTGATGTTTACGGAGGGTTATGCCGATCTCAACTCAATTTCAAGTATAAAACCAACAGTGGCATGAGGGAAAATGCATAGTTAGGTTTTAAAGTAACCAGAAAACACAGTCATCTAGAATATTCCATTTCCTGATGTTACTAGCTATCCAAATTGTTTCAGTATTGGGTAACCAGTGGGGTTACTGTCTCGTTTGGTCAGGGTGAATGAAAGCTGACTCTTTCCAAAGGGCTGGGTTGGGATGGAAAATAGGATTTTTTGGCAGCCAGATACATTCAAGCTGCTCTTCAGGTTCCTCATGAAATGACTGCTCCAACCACGGATTTACACTGATCTTCTTTTTTAATGTGTAGACATTCATTTTTTCAAGTACTTCGTATTTTTGTCGCTTCCTGAGGCCTGCTCATCTCACAGGCTCTTGAGTTATGTCATAATTTGAATTCACAGACTCAGTTTAAGTGTTTCTTTGTAAACGTTACTGGTATCAGATCTGCCTAGAGCGCTGTGGCGTTTGCTTTGGCCCTCCGTTTTGTGGGTTCTTTATTTTTGTGTCTCAGAGAATATTATTATATTTAAACTCGATTCTTTCCTCCTCAGGCACAAGTCACGAATTCCGGCTTTTCTCAAGTTCCTCTAGTTTGAGAAGTGTCTTCCTGTTGGCTGTTGTTTCTGGAGCGTCAACTGCTCTGTCCACTGCCCCAGACTTTCTGGGTGTCGAGTGCTGAGCTCTGAGTTTCCCTCAGGCTCCCTCAGGTTGCCCTAGTTTATGAGTTTTCTTTGTGCGTTTCGCTTGTGATGACCCCCTTAGAGAGCGGGATACTGTGTCAGGAAGTGTTCGTTTCCATCTTTGATCAACCACATTGGGTCCTCTCTGCTTTTTTTTTTTTTTTTAATTCATTATATGGCAGCCTCCTACACGTCTCTCCTTTTTAGTGACCACAGTGCTTAAGACTTAAGCAGATGACGTTCATTCAGCACGCTCCGTGCCATACTTTTCTTCCTCCATATCAACTGTGTTTCTTTCTTCGAAAGAAAATAGGCATCTACAGAAGACAACGGATGCATCTTTGATGCTTTAAGAGATTATTGTTTGATTGTCTGACCTAAGGGAGCATGAGGACAGGCGCCATAAATGAGTTAGAGGCTCAGTGAAGTTTCTCATTCAAATTCAAGTGGAATCTCCGTCTGCTGGGAGGCGCTGCCAGAGGCTTGGGGCGGAAGCCAGCACCGGAGTGTCTAGCCCTTCGCTAGGAGAGGGGTGGCGCTCTCGGTGGCCGTGATCCCGCACCGAGCACACCGTGGTCTCTGTGAGCTCCCTCAAGGTACCATTTCTCGTACCTGCACAGTAGCCGGAGTAGCGGATTGCTCAGGGTTCAGACATCACAGCTGACCCTGGGGGCAGAGAGCACAATGCTTGGGTCGCATGGCGGACTGTGGTCGGGCCTCGGATCGATGAGGACGATCTCCGGAGGATCCTGCTCCAGAGACACCGAGCTGGTCAGAGGAGGCCGCAGTGTTTCCTGCATCCCGTTAGGAGTCGCTCGCAGTCCAAATGGCCTCTGAAGTTTGGGGCATCAGGAAATTTTTTATTTGAGCCGTATGTCCCAAGAGTGGAGTAAATGAGAACCATTTGTGGCTATGTGGCTTTCTTGGTGGAAAACGTCGATACTGGGTCCAATTTTTTTTTTGGACGAGGGATTAAAAATTTGAGGTCTGTTTTGGCAGAGGATCGCAACTCCTTTTTGGAGACTCGATTAGATTTCTAGTTCTGCAACTTATTTGGTTTTGGAAAATTTGCTTTGGAAACGATGCTTTAAGTATCTGAATTATCGAAGAAGGATCTCGTAAGCGAACAGTTGTTCCTGCAGGCACACAGTTCAGAATAATCGGGTGAACTTCTAAAAACTACTTCGACCTCAATCAGAAAATTCTAAATTCGATGAGGCTTAAAATTTAAATTCGATGTGAATGATGTGGCTTAAAACCCAAATAATCTTTAAGTTCTAGGAGAAATGGGTGATTCTTATTACATGTTCATTTTGCTACGGTGAAGGAAAAATGTACATGTAATATTCGAAAAGATATTTGATCCCAGTGTTTCGCAGGCTTCCAAAAGTTTCTGGTCTTTTGTGATAGGAAACTATTCGTTTAAATACAGAATTTTGTCACTTAAATTTGGAACTGAGTTCTTTGGACATTTCGGGGACAGAGTGTGACATCTCATGTTCTTGAGGGTATTTTTCCAGATGTAACTTCTCTGGGAATTTTTGCAAAATATCATCGGCGTGAATGAAAAGGTGGCTTGGTGTTCTAAGGAAAAGGACCAGATGGAAGAACAGTTGAGTCATCGTCCACCTCATTAGGGAGGTCAGGCTCTGGGACGGTCTAAAGCTGAGAGGGCCCTGGGCCCTGGGCCCTGGGCTGGGCTCGTGGCATCCACACAGCTCCGCCCCAGTGCCGAGTCGGTTTGGGCCCCCACTGCCGGGAAAGCTCTTTTATTGCGTGTCCTTTGCTCTCCCCGCGGTGTCTCCTGCGAGGACAGGTCTTAGGCCGTTTTTCCCGGAGTCTTCCCTGGCGACACGACGTTTCGGTTTGGCTCCAAAGAGAGCTCCGACTGCGGTGTTTCTGAGCAGGACGGGACTTTCTCCATCTTCGTCCTGGATCCGCAGACTTATCGAATAGCGTTAACGCAGAATGCAGATGGTGGTGGTGCCAACCCATCGAACGGCAAAAGGAACGGCAGAAGGATTTTTCACTTTGCCCCAAATTAGAAATAGTTTTCTCTCATTCTGCTGGTTTCTTCTTATCGGGTTTATACAAGCGGTATTTCTACGATATTTTCTAGAATCTGTCTCTTATAGAATCGTAAGCTACAACTGTCTAGTGATTTTCTTCGATAATTCTATAAAAATATCAGTTAAATAACTTGTGGATCCATCTTTCAATGGGTTACCTTCCAGTAAAGTACATATTTGTCTTTTATTAGGGTAAAAGTTTAAACTAAAGTAAAATTATGAGCATTTGGTCCTAGGAGGTTTTAAATACCAGCCTTACTGTGGCCATGCGTCCCCGTGGGGAGTAGAGCGTTTGATTACTTATCAGTCTATTATTTTTATTCAGGTTGTAGTTTATTGGCAAATGTGTAAGTATAGAAATAAACTCTTACTGGTTTATAGCCACAAAGATTTATTTCTCGTTCACACAAGCATGGGCCGCCGAAGGCTGCAACCCTTTTCCCAGCTCGGAGCCAGGTGATGTCTGAAGGAGCAGATCTGATCAAGGGACGTGCATTTTCCTGG